TTTATTGAGCTTGCAAACATAATTAGGATGACGAGCATCCGCAAAGCCTGGAGGTTGATTCATAAAGACAGTGTCACCCAAATGGTCGTGGAGAAAAGCATTATTGACGTCAAGTTGAGTCAAAAGACCATCTGTTAACAGTCGCAAGAGTGAGAACAATACGAACGGTAGCCGCCTTGACAACGGGATTGAAGATGTGAGAATAATCAAGTCCCGACACTTGACTGAACCCTTGAGCGACGAGACGAGCCTTGTGACACTCTACAGTCCTATCAGCCCGATATTTGGTGCGAAACAACCACCTGCAACCCACAATATTAGTTTGGGAGGGTCGTGGAACAAGAGTCCATGTCTGATTATGATGAAGAGCCGCCATCTCGGAACACATTGCGTCACGCCATTTAGGATCACGCAAGGCAGTGGTAAGGGATGAGGGAATGTCAGCAGAAAAAACTTGAGAAAACAAACCATGAGAGGTTAAATGTTCCAAATCAGGACGGTAGCGTGGCTGAAAAATCCCGGCTATGGTGTGCATGGTCATCGGGTGCGAAGTCGGGGGCGGATGAGGGGTCGGAGGCGAAGCAGGCCCGAAACCAAACAACGAGCCAGAGTCGGAGACGGTTTCAGCAGCAGGACCAATGGTTGGTTCGAAGTTAGACGCGGAATGCGACTCGAGTTTGGGACCTGGGGAAGCAACAACAGGGGACTCATATGCAGGAGATGCAACCGAGGGAGCTAGAGAATCGGGCTCCCTACACACAGCGCAAGGAGCAGGGGTGGCGGGTCCTGATGGAGCACATGGAGAAGTCGAGGCTGCGTCATCGGGGACTGGAACGGTGGTGAGCTGATCACCAAGGAATGTATGTAAGGGTAAAGACCCAATAGGAGCATTTGTATGGGTGACACGAAACGGTAAACACTCTTCATCAAACCGGGCATGGCGGGTAACAAAAACCCGTGTCGAAACCGGATCGAGACACAAGTAGCCTTTATATTGAGCGTGATAACCCACAAAAACACAAGGGATGCTCCGCGGAGAAAGTTTATGATCCACATAGTCAAGCAAATACGGATAGACGCGACACCCAAAAATGAGAAAATTCTCATAAGATGGCTCCTGTCCGAACAGGACCTCAAATGGTGATTTCATGGACAACACCTTTGTGGGGAGACGATTAATAACATGCACGGAGGAGCTAAAAGCATGAGCCTAATAAGAAACCGGAATGTGAGCATGAAACATCATGGCGAGTCCTGTCCCCACAATGTGACGATGTTTGCGTTGAACCCGCCCATTTTGTTGGAGGGGTATACGGGCATGAGATGCGGTGAAATATACCATGTTTATGCAATAACGCCTTTACTTTGTTATTTAGAAATTTCGTACCCCCGTCACTTTGAAATTTTTTAATTTTGGTAGAGAATTGAGTCTCTACAAAGGCAATAAATAAATCAAAAATGCTAAAAAAATCCGATTTAGACTTGAGCGGGTAAAGCCATGTAAAGGGAGAGAAATCGTCCACAAAGGTGACATAATATCGGTATGAAGCAACCGAATCAATCGGGGAAGGACCCCAAAGATCACAATGGATCAAATCTAAAACATGGGTGGCACGTTGGTCATTATTGTCAAAAGGCAACCGATGAGACTTAGCAAGTTGGCAAGGAGAACAAGTAACCGGTTTAGGAAAAATAGAAGAAACAAGCACATGACCAAGTTTATTTAATATAGAAATAACATCAAAAGACACATGCCCTAAATGGGAGTGCCATAATTCAAAAGATGCCTTGGGTCGCTTCTTAGCATCAAACGCACAAGCCACCGGCTTATTTGGAAGAACATAAAGCCCTCGATCACACGTTCCTTGAGCCAAAATTTGTTTCGTTGCCAGATCCTGAATGTAAAACAAATATTTGGAGAAAATCACATCCACATTATTATCGTATGTTAACTTGCTAATAGATAATAAATATTTAGTAAGACGGGGAACCACCAAAACATCCCGCAACCGAATATCATTGGGAAGATAGGAAGTCCCAATAGCAACAATGGGAAGAGTATTACCATTATCGAAGTGAACCGAGTCATCACCAACAAAAGGTTCGGGTTTAGCAACCGAGCCCGAAGAAGAAACCATGTGGTCCAAGGCACCGGAATCAACATAGCAATCCGGGTCGGATGGGGTCACACGACAATTTGCAAGGAAAGCTTTTGCTAAATCGGCTTCACTAGGGGCAGACCTAGAAGCAAAGGTCGGAAGTTGTGGACAAGCATTAGCAAAATGCCCGTTTTGTCGGCATTGTTGGCAGTGGGGTGACCGCCGGCCACGACCACCGCGATGACCACCACGACCACCGGAGTCACCACCCCGACCCCGACCAGCAGTGGCAGAGGCAGCAGCCCCAATGGGCGTTGATTCAGCAGAGAAAGCGACGACAGGTGTGGAGTTAGCGTGGAGGGATTTCATGAAAAGCTCATGACTTTCGGCTTGAGCAAGGAGGTCCCGAAAAGTTGGAGAGAGGCGAGAGGTCCGAACCCCAATGGAGAAAACTTCAAAATCGCTGCCAAGACCACATAGGAACCAATGATTTTTATCAGATTCGGTAACAACTTGGCCGATAGCCGCAAGTTGATCACAAATCGCCTTAAATTTCCGTCCATATTCGGAGACGGTGGAGGTTCCTTTAGAGAGAAGGAGAATGTTCATGGATAGAGTAGCATCAGTGGAGGAGCCAGCCATGGATGAAGCTGTGATGGTGACAAGAAAAAACTGAAAGATAGAAGAAAAGAGGAGAATGATCGACTAAGAAGAGGGAGAGGAAGGGAGGGAGAAGAAAAGAGGAGAATGATCGGCTAAGAAGAGGGAGAGGAAGGGAGGGGTTTTTGGCCTGATAGCATGAAATAATGGGTTTCCACACCAAGAGGCATGGGAGTTATCACATATATATAATAAATAAAGATACACATAAGACCCTCAAGTATACAACAATAAATAAAAGTGTATAGACTTACTTTGGCTAATAGGAAAAAATGAGGTTGAATGTCGGTTCTTTGGAGGCCTTTACTTAGGTTCTTCTTTACAAATGGAAGTGGAGCTTCCATAATTGTAATAACAATATTTGGACCAATGCGGTGAAGGTTTTTTATGGTCGACATGGAGGTTTTGGTATGGACATAGAAGGTGCGGTTTTAAATAGGGGTATTTGGTACAAAATTATAAGTACAAAATCAATAATCTCTATGACTAAAACATTATTACTTTAATTTCCATTTAAATAAATTTTAAAAATGATGAAACAACAGCTTTTTGGCAAAACATTTAAATTGGAGATAACTTGTTAAAGCTCAAGTTTTCCAAATTGTTTTTACTAGAAATGGTTCAGAATTGCACCATTAAACAAAGATGGAATGGTTCAGGATTCGAATGGGCTTGGAGTACACCGATTCTTGGTGGCACGTTACTTGCTCATGTACAACAATTAGAACATAATGATCCGTGGAAAAAAAACTCAAGAGTCACATGACATGTGGGAATGGAAGCTTGGTGGTAATGTCGAATTTATTATTGTCGAAATTTGGAAACACATCGATGTAAAATGTGTAAAATGTCTTCCGGGTGGCAATACGGAGACTACATGGATTAAATATGTTCCTCAAAATCAATGTTTTCTATTGATGATTTATATTCAATCGATTGCCTACTCGTATTAATATCGACGAAAAAAGCATTGACATCCCTTTGGTTGGTTGCAGCATTTGTAATGCAGATATGGAAGACTCAAAATCATTTGTTCATCTCGTGTTAAATTGTAAAGGATTTGTGGATCTTTTTGGGAAGTTGGTGTAATATTTTCTTTCTGGATTTTAGCAACATTGGTGAGACGATACATTGGATTGATTCGGTTAAATTATCGAAGTCCAAACGAGTGGAAATGGAATCGATAATTATGATTATCTGGTGGCTTATATGGACGTTTTGGACATTCTCTTCGACGACGAATCCCCGAGTAGGGCTGCAAATGAGCCAAGCCGAGCTCGAGCCTGACCAGACTCGGGCTCGGCTCGTTTAAATATTTATAGGCTCGAGCTCGAGCTCGGCTCGTTTCGAGCGTTATGGTACAAAGCTCGAGATCGGCTCGTTAAGAATTGTACGGGCTCGGGCTCTGTTTGGGCTCGGCTCGTATACGGTATACTCTAATTTCCTAAAATGGTATTTATTAAGTTATTATTTATTTTAATATTTAAAAATAAAAATATATTATATATATGTAGGCTCGTTTAGGCTCGCGAGCCTAATCGAGCCAAGTAACAGAGGCTCGAGCTCAAGCTCGTTTAATAAACAAGCCTAATATTAAGCTCGAGCTCGGATCAGACTCGTTTAAAATCGATCTCGAGTCACGCTTTTAACGATTCGATCTCGAATAGCTCACAAGTAGCTTCAGTCGTTTGCACCCCTATCCCCGAGAACGAATTAGTTGGTTTGATATTTTAATCGACTATTTTTATTATTGTTTATGGTGATGTGGAATAGGAGATTTAATATTTGTTGAATGTTTTGGCATTTAACCCTATTTTGTCTATAACGTTAGATTTTTACCGACCTTTTCTTTGGTTCGTTAATAAAAATTATTCAGCCCTAAAAAAGAATATTATAACAGGTTGATGAGGGTCTGCTATTTTTTTTTAATTATTTATTTGTTCAGGTTTTGGATTTTTTTTTTTTTTTTTTTTGGATAAAACACCTTTTTCAACAGGTTCAATTAATATTCTACATTTTGCTTTTGGAAGAAAGGGGTTATCTCATTCAAATGATTCTTTAAATAAATAATGTATCTTTAGATGATTAAAGTATTTTACGTGAATATTTTGGAATAAAACGACACCAAGTGGGAACATTAGTTCTATCGAAATATAGATTTAAATTATGTAATTACCATACTAAGCAAATACTAATCAAGTGTGCATCAACGTCGACTTCTAAACTGTAAACGGAATCACCATGACCCGCCGACATGTCCTTCTTGTTTCTCGACACGACTACGGCCATCTCAACCCAACTATTGAGCTCGCCAAGAACTTCAGACTCGCCGGTGCACAAGTCACCGTTGCCACCACCGTCAGCGGCTTCAGCAAGCTCAAATCTCTACCTTCCCTCGACGGTTTTTCTATTGCTTCCTTCTCCGACGGCCATGACGATGATATCAACGCAGCCAAGGTCCCCGGCTACATCCATGACCTAAGGCGTGTGGGCTCGGAGAGTCTTGCAGGTCTTATTCGAACTTTTTCAGAAAGCGGCAATCAGGTAACCTTGCTAGTCTACACCCTCTTCCTACCTTGGGTGGCGATGGTGGCGCGTGAGGTCAACGTGCCGTCTACTATCCTCCTCATCCAATCCGCGACTTGTTTTTCGATTTATAACCATTTCTGCAACCGTCGTGATGGTATTGTCGTTGTCAGCAAAGATATTGGAACCTCGATATCTCTACAATTGCCAGGAGTGCCTTTGTTGAAATGGAGTGATTTTCCGACGTTTGTGTTGCCCACTAGTCCGTATTTTTCAGATATGGTTTCTGTTTGTCAAGAACACCTGAAATTTCTTGAGGAAGATCCAAATCCACGCGTACTTGTGAACACTATGAAAGGATTAGAGCCTGATTCTATACAGTCCATCGCCAACGCCGTTGTTGTTGGCCCACTGGTTTCGTCTTCTTTCACCGGCGATCAGGGTTCGTATTTTCAATGGCTAGATTCAAAACCAGAAAACTCGGTGATATACGTTTCATATGGGAGCACGGCGGTGCTAAGCAGAGGTCAAAAGGAAGAGTTACTGCGTGGATTAATGGAATCATGCCGGCCATTTTTGTTGGTTTTACGTGACGATGGTGAAGAGGAAGACGAAGAGATAAAGGAATTGAAGGAGAAAATAGGAGACGATGGGTTGGTAGTGGGGTGGTGTTCACAAACAGAGGTTCTGAGACACAGTGCTGTTGGGTGTTTTGTGACGCATTGTGGGTGGAATTCCACATTGGAGAGTATGGTGGCCGGAGTGGCAGTTGTGGCGTGTCCACAGTTTGCCGATCAGACAACGAATGCAAAGATGGTGGAGGAGGTGTGGGGGAATGGCGTTAGAGCGGTGGTGGATGAGAAAATGGTGGTGAGTAGAGAAGAGATTAAGAGGTGTTTGGAAGTGGTGATGGGAGGCGGCGATACGGCGGAAGAAATAAAGAAGTGTGTTGAGAATTGGAAAAAGGTTGCCATGGAATCGGTCAAAGATGGTGATTCTTTAGAGATAAATCTAAAACTATTTTTGGAAAGCATTTCATAAAAGTAATGAATGTTTATAGTTTAATAAATGATTATCAAACATTTTAATTCAACTAAACTTTTTTGTATCTATCTATGTTCAGACATGTATTTTAGATGGTTGTTCGTTTGTTCCAATTTCGCTCATGCTAAGCTCTTCTTCGCGACATATACCAATCGACTCCAATATTCGTTTCCTTTATTTCCTTTTTTCCAACCTTCAATGCAATATGTGTTTACGCACAAACAAATCGAATTCATCATTTATGCTAAAAATGTATTGAAGAAAATTACGGATTATTCCACATTATACTTTTATATACTACAAATAGGATAGTACTAATAGGGAAGCTGGGAAGGGTATATGGTGGCCACTACATGTGTCATTGAGGGGTATACACACGCACCAAGATGAGAGAGGGAGAGGGAGAGGGAGAGAGAGGTGTGGTTAGCCGTGATTGCCTAGATACGCCAAACAGTGCTATGTCTCCACCATATAGAAGGGGCAGTATGTAGGGGTGAGCATTTGGACCGGTGGACCGGACCGGACCGGTTTTTTGGACCCCCGGGCCGGTTCTCGGTTCTAAGATTTCATCAAAACCGGTCCGGTTTTTTTCCCGGTTCGGTCCGGTTTTTACCGGGTTTAGAACCGGTTGGACACGCGTAAAAAAAAGTCAATTTAGTAGGCTTTGCTTTGAGTCTTCGACGGTCCCTTTCCCATAACTACGTAAGACGCAAAGAAAGATCACTTCGATTCGATCATCAAAATCCTAGCTCGGACGTAAGTACGTAACCCTTCTCCAAGTCTCAATCTCAAACTCACAAGTGGCAAGTCTCGATTTTACAGGTTTTGTTCCTTCCCAGTTCTCTCAAGTCTCAACGATCACTTCTCCCTCTCTCAAGTGAAAATCGATTTCTGTGAAACTCAACTACTCAAGTGTCGATTTAGAAGTAATGTAATCAAAAATCCGGAATGTTAATTGGATTGGAGATGATGATGAAGAAACTCAAGTAAGGGTTACGATTTTTGGTTCTTTTTTGTTAATTTTTGTTGAATTAACAAAAAATGTTGTTATATTTAGTTGAAGTTTTGTCAAAAAAAATTATTGTTATTATATGTAAACTAGGGTTATGATTTTTTGTTGATTTTTGTTAATTTTTGTTGAATGTCATATAGTATGTTGTTATATTTAGGTTATTTGTTGTCAAAAAGTTTTTTTTGTGATTGTATGTAAACTAGGGTTATGATTTTTGGTTGAATTTTGTTAATTTTTGTTGAAAGTTATAAAGTATGTTGCTATATTTTGTTGATTAATTGTGAAAAAGTCGTTCTTGTGACTATATGTAAACTAGGGTTGCGAATTTTTGTTGATTTTTGTTAATTTTTGTTGAATGTGAAGTATGTTGTTATATTTAGGTTATTTGTTGTCAAAAAGTTTTTTTTATTATTGTATGTAAACTATGGTTATGATTTTTGGTTGAATTTTGTTAATTTTTGTTGAAAGTTATAAAGTATGTTGCTATATTTTGTTGATTAATTGTGAAAATATTTTTGTTGTGACTATATGTAAACTAGGTTACGAATGTTGATGAAGAGGAATTTATTGATAATACACCACAAATTAATTTAGTTGATAATTCGGCAAAAGATGATCAATCAAATTTTAACAAACGAAAAAGAACAAATGGGAAAACGAAAACAAGTCGCAAAAAAAAAACAAGTGGCAAAGAAACATCCTCTTGTTGGGACACATTTGATAAAGTTATGATAAAAGAGGATGATGGTGTCAAAAGAAGATATGGAAAATGTCATTGGTGTGAAAGATTACTAAAGGTGGATGTGGAAAGAAACGGGACTACTAGTTTACTCAAACACGTAGGTAGGTGTCAAAAAAATCTGGATAAGCTACAAGATCAAACTCAAACCAAATTGAATCTAAAGAAGGAGTCAAATGGGGAGACTAGTGTTAAAACATGGAAACACGACGACGCTAGGATCAAAAAAGCATTACTTAACCTTTTTGTGGTAGGCGAACTACCTTTCAAGTTCGTTGAAAACGAGGCTTTTGTAGAATACACCAACGCACTTAATGCTATGGTCGTGTTGCCATCTAGACATACGATATCCCAGAATGTTTCCAAGTTTTAAATAGAAATAAGAACCAAAATGCTTCAATTTTTAAGTAACCCAAACACCGCTATACATTTGTCAACGGACACTTTGACATCTTCTTGTCAAAGGACTACTTACATGGTGGTCACGGCTCACTTCATAGATGAGAATTGGATAATGCACAAGAGAATTATAAACTTTAGGGAGATAGATAGCCATAAGGGAGAGGATATGGGCCGAGAATTACTCGATTGTATTCGTGGATGGGGAATGAAAAATGTCATGACCATTACCTTGGACAACGCCGCTACAAACAACAAGGCAATTGGCTTTTTGGTCAAAAAGTTGCCCAGTCTTTACGATGGTGGAAAGCATTTCCAAGTTAGGTGTATGGCCCACATTTTAAACGTAAAGGATGGACTAAAATACCAAAACTATCATGTTTAGTGTATTCAAAAGGCGGTACGGTATATTAGATTGTCACCACAAAGAATAAACAAGTTCAAGAAGGCGATGAAAGATTGTGGCTTACAAACGAAGAAGTTTCTATGTGGTGACACCCCTACCCGATGGAACTTGACTTTCGAGTTATTGAAGTCCGCATACCAGTTACGAGAGGCATTTATGGAAATTGGTGTAAGAGGTAATATTTATTTTTAAGTTATATTTCAGCTTTTCAGCAACATTTTAAATATTTTGTAATCTATGGGATTTTTTAAACAACTATAACTCATTCGTTTTAAGTCGGATTGACACACGGTTTTTTCCAACGTCTAAATTACAGTTTGTAGATGAATTTACACTATAATTTTGTTGATTTTGGTATTATATTCAATGAGTTATAGTTTTTCAGAGTTGAACTATCAAAGCTGAAAATTTTCAGCTTTTCAGCAACATTTTAAATATTTTGTAATCTGTGGGATTTTTTAAACAACTATAACTCATTCGTTTTAAGTTGGATTGACACGCGGTATTTTCCAACGTTTAATTTACAGTTTGTAGATGAATTTAGACTATAATTTTGTTAATTTTGGTATTATATTCAATGAGTTATAGTCTTTCAAAGTTGAGCTATCAAAGCTAGAAAATTTCAGCTTTTCAGCAACATTTTAAATATTTTGTAATCTGTGGGATTTTTTAAACAACTATAACTCATTCGTTTTAGGTTGGATTGACACGCGTTTTTTTCCAACGTTTAATTTACAGTTTTTAGATGAATTTAGACTATAATTTTGTTAATTTTGGTATTATATTTAATGAGTTATAGTCTTTCAAAGTTGAGCTATCAAAGCTGGAAAATTTCAGCTTTTTAGATATTATTTTAGACTATACTTATGAATTTTATGTATCTTTGACTGATAAATCATATGAAAGGGATTTCAGTAGAGTACCAGAAAATTATGACTTTGAAGTTGTAACCGAAATGGTGAAGTTCTTTGAAAAATTCAAGACAAAAACAGAGCTTGTTTCGGCTACATCAAAACCTTTGGTAAATCTTTTTATCTGGGAATTCTTAGATGTGGACATACATTTAAGAAACTGGTCAACCAAACCAATGTTTCTCGAAATGGTAAAAGACATGAAGACGAAATACGACAAGTATTGGGGTGCATATAACAAGATGAACGATTTTTATGTACTTTGCGGTTTTACTTGATCCTACCACCAAATCACATTTTTTGTTACATGCTTTTAAAAAAATGATCGGGTACATGGAAGTGATGGAACCGCCATTAACCCCCGCGGACATAGACATAAAAGCACGTCAAATGGTCCGAGAGATTGAGAATAGGATGGAGAATTTATTTATGACCTACTTGAAACGATTTGACAACGGTGGATCATCTCAACAAGAAGCGAGTCAAAAAAGTCATTGATGTTGATGATGATAACGATTTTTTTAGTGATTTTCTTTGTACGGGAGGTAGCAACTCGGATCCAACAGATAACGAGTTTCGAACTTATTTGAAAGAGAATATAGTTAATTATAAAAAAAGATTTTTGAATTCTTGGGTGGTGGAGACTAAACGCGATTTGGTTCCCGACAGTTGCTCGGATGGCGAAAGGTGATTACTTTTTTTTAGTCTTTCATAGTTTCTTTATAAATTAATGTTGTTACAATTTAATTCTTTTTTGTTAGACATATTGGCGATACAAATCTCAAGTGTTGCGTCCGATTCCGCATTTAGCACATGTGGTAGAGTTGTAAGTGAGTATCGGACTAGTTTATCGACTTTGATAGTTGAAGCTTTGTTATGCACCCAAGATTGGGTGAGAAAGTCTACAAATCCGATAATTGACAATGTTGATGACATCTTGAACGATGATGATATAGCTTTGGGTAAAAAAAAATTACAATCTTTGTTCTTTTTTTATACAATTATTACTTCTTATTAAATACTAACAACATTTTCATTTGTGTTTATGTAGAGATTGCACAAGCTTTAAACATGTTAGATATAGATGACAATGATATGGGGAAGAGGCCAATGCAAGATTAGATTATGAGTTTATGAAGTTTGTTAGTTTGATTGATTTTAAAGTCTAAATTATGATTTTTGGTGTTACAGTAATACTTTTGTATGTTTGTCTTATGATTGTTAACTTTTGTTGGTAAACTTGATTTATATGTTAGTTGCTTTTATTTGGAAAATTAATTTTGCAAATTATGCATGAAACGAAACGTAATCATTTTTACAAGTTGTATCATATCAAATTCAACAACATATTTGTTTTAACGAGTTCTATGAAACCCAAAACCTTATTTTAATGACTTGTACTCTATGCAGTTAAAGTTGTACCGGTCCAAACGGCTCCAAGAACCGAAAAACCTGGATCTGGACCCGGACACGGACACGACTCATCCGGTCCGATCCACGGTCCACAAAATTCTCCATAACCGGTCTGGT